GGTGAGATGATAACAATCCGGCTTTAAATTCTGTATATTCGGCAGTTTCTTTTCCAACAACGGACCGAATAGCTTTTCTCACGTCTTTCTCCGCTGCCATTACTGAACTGAAACTGACGCACTTACATCAACGTCATCGTTCTCAGCCACTCCCTCTATTCGCTGATTGGTCCTACAAAAAATTGATTTCTGGAAACCTAAGGATACACAGGAGTCCCAGACGCAGTACTGAAGGAAAATGAAATTGAGCGTAGGAGGGCGCAGCCAGGCTAAGTAATACCTGCCAGATGAACAAAGATAAACAATTATAAAATAATGTTGGACATATAATGACATTCATCATTTGAAATTTATGTCTGTGATTTATTCTGTTGGTTAGAGTATAACTGAGATTCTGCATAAATATCCAGAATGTTCTCAAAAGTTGTTTTAAAAAAAATTTCTTTAAGGCACACACAGACCTCAAGATTCAGTCAATGCTTCTCAACAACAGTGACGAGTAGAATATTCAAGTAGGAAAAGTAAATTACATAGACAATTCAGATCATAATTTATTCATACCGCAATGCATGATGGGAGACATTAATGAGGACTATTAATGTCACCACTGTTGAGATAGACAGGCTGATTATTGATCTCCGTGTTTCTACATAAAGATTTAAGTGATTTGATCAGAATAGTTTTATTAAATATTTTCGGTTATAAGAAAATACAGATATGTTGTACAATAACTAAACTGTTAACTGCAAGTTAATCCTAACCATCAGAATTACGAATTTTTGGAATTTTCAGATCACAGCATAATTATGTCAAAACACAACCAACACTATCAGATCACAGTTTTCTTTGTTCATTTGACTGTTATAAATCAATAACAGCAGACAAACAAAGTTTAAAGTAAAAGTATAAGGATCAAGAGCCCAACTAAAGCAAACACTGATCTCCATAACGGTGGCTTACAATTTGTGATTTTGTCCTTCAGTGATTCTGCTTGTTAACATCAGGTGTCTTCAATAATGCTCAATCATCACTAAATTAATCACTTAATTATCTCATTAATTTTAACACTCTTGAGTGTTAATTTAACACTCATATCTGAATCATATCGTCCATTTGAAAGCATGATTTACTGCTAATCAAGGAACCGGCTTTACTGATTAGATGCGCATAACAATATCGTGCGATATATCGCCCAGCCCTAGCAGGCAGGATACTAACACACTCTAACATATACACCATGTAACATACAAGAACCGAAAAAAGACTGAATGAACTGAGGGAACTAAATACAGATACAAATGAACATTAACGAGGTGAGGACAGGTGACACAGATGATAATGATGAACAGGTGGATGATTGAGGGAGTGAGTACAGGTGTGGAGACAAGAGGATCCTGGGAAGTGTAGTGAAGACAAAGACAGACAGGTGCAGACGAGGACTTTGACAGTCACAACCAGAGAAGTAATTTTCCTGAGTTCGTTGCTACAACATAACTTTGTGATGTAGTGAGCAAGTAATGGCAACATCGTCAATCAGTTGTAAGTTATGTCCTCATTTGCCTAAACTAATGACATTTGCCTAGGCTCCAGAAATATACAAAACTGTTTGAACAGACATTGATCGTTTAAAACTAAAGTGTCTAACAGTCAGTGCTAAAGATCTCCTTTAAAAAACAATTCATATTTGTGCTTATTGTGAAAGAATTTTAAGTATAATAGTAGTAAAACATTAGATATTTTAATATTTTTAATAGTCTTTTTTTTTCATGCCAGGTGTTGAATGGTCACTGTTGGCTGTCATCTCTTTAATCCTCTGTAAGTGTAAGCCAGTACTGTTTTCTTTAAACAAATGTCTGTTGACCCTGTGAACCATATTAACTTTTAGTTTTTAAAAAAAAAATAATTAGTTAAATTTATTTCTTAGTACTTTGTCATTTTCAAAACTCTACTCCTTAGTCTATATAAGGATGCAGCTTAACAGTCCGGTTAATCTCACTTCCAAAATGCATTCTAAATTCTTATTCCAAATGAAATAATTTGTGTATTTGTTTTGATTTATAGTGTCCATTCTTTAAAATTTAATAAATATTTTCAGTGTCTGTGGCCGACAGAATGGTCAGGTGATGTAATGTAAGTGCATCACCAAGACCATAAATAGACGCCACGTCACCTGATTCTAAAAACAAATAACAACAAAAAACAGTGTTGACTTGAAATGTGTTTCCAATCAAATGAAATGTGCTAACCATGCTGGAAATTTACCTGGTTTGGTATTTGTGTTTACTTTGATCACATATTTCTCATCCTCAGGTATAATACCCACCACTACCGCTGAATCAAGGGCAGCAGTTCATTCAGTTTTGGACTGTGAGCTTGATAATGACACGCAGATCTGCACCGGTGCTCAGTACCGCATGCACTGCAACACAAGAATGAATCGTTTCTCCTACCAGAGATACCAATACCAAAACCAATACCAGTGCATGAGTAATGACTGTATCTGTGTTGGTAATAATGACACCTGTGCATGCTACTATAATACTTCATCTTGCTTCTGTGAGAATATTAGCAATAACATGACAATCCCCACAGCAGTTAGTCCAGTCTATAACTGTGGGCTTTATAATGACACGTACATCTGCACTGGTGCTCAGTACCTCATGTACTGCAACACAAGTGAGCATGACTTCCATTACACTATCAACCATTTCCATTGTTTTGATAATAACTGTAGCTGCATTAGTAATAAGGACACTTGTACCTGCTCTAGAAGCAAGTTGTCATCCTGCTTCTGTGAGACTAACGGAAATAACATCACTATCCCTGCCGCAGTCCGACCAGTCTACGACTGTGGGCTTTATAATGACACGTACATCTGCACTGGTACTCGGTACCGCATGTACTGCAACACAAGAATGCACAGTTTCAACTACCAGAGATATAGATACCCAAACCAATACCAGTATAGATGCTGGAGTAATAACTGTAACTGTGTTGTTTATGAGGACACCTGTACATGCTACAGTAGCACTCTGTCCTCCTGCTTCTGTGAGACTTATGGCAATAGCATCACTATCCCTATTCCTACATCAGTTAGTCCAGTCACAGACCCTGACTGTGTGCTACAAAACAATATATACATCTGCACTGGTTCTCAGTACCGTATGTACTGCAACACACAAATGCATGATTTCTCCTACCAAAAATATCAGTTCCAGTTCCAGTACCAGTGTGTGAACAATGACTGTGACTGTGTTGGTAATAAGGACACCTGTACTTGCTCCAGTAGCACTCTGTCCTCCTGCTTCTGTGAGACTAACAGCAATTACATTGCTCTCACGACAGCAGTTAGTCCAGTCTATGACTGTGGGCTTTATAATGACATGTACGTCTGCACTGGTGCTCAGTACCAAATGTACTGCAACACAAGTGTGCATAATTTCCATAACTATGAATACCATCACCACTGTTTTAGTGATAACTGTAGCTGCATTGGTAATAAGGACACCTGTGTGTGCAACTATAATATGTCATCCTCCTGCTTCTGTACAAATAACAACAATAGCATCACTATCCCTGCTGCAGTTAGACCAGTCTACGACTGTGGTCTTTATAACGACACGTACATCTGCACTGGTGCTCAGTACCGCATGTACTGCAACACAAGAATGCATTTTTTCTACAACTGGAGATATCAGAACCAAAACCAATACCTGTGCATGAGTAATGACTGTTTCTGTCTTAGTGATAAGGACACCTGTACCTGCTACGGTAGCACTCTGTCCTCCTGCTTCTGTGAGACTTATGGTAATATTGTTGCTCTCAATAGAGCAGTTAGTCCAGCTTATGGCTGTGTGCTTTACAATAACACGTACATCTGCACTGGTGCTCAGTACCACATGTACTGCAATACAAGTGTGCATGATTTCTACTACTGGAGATACCAGTACCAAAACCAATACCTGTGCATTAGTAATGACTGTATCTGTTTTGGTAATAAGGACACCTGTTCATGCTACAGTAGCACTTTGTCTTCCTGCTTTTGTGAGACGTACAACAATAACAGCACTATCCCTACAGAAGTTAGTCCATTGAGACTCTCTCAATGTGTGTTTATAAATGACACGTACATCTGCACTGGTGCTCAGTACCGCATGCACTGCAACACAAGAATGCATTATTTTTACTACCTAAATCAGAATCAAAACCAATACCAGTATGAATGCTGGAATAATGACTGTGACTGTGTTGGTAATAAGGACACCTGTACCTGCTACGGTAGCACTCTGTCCTCCTGCTTCTGTGAGACTTATGGTAATATTGTTGCTCTCAATAGAGCAGTTAGTCCAGCTTTTGGCTGTGTGCTTCACAATGACACGTACATCTGCACTGGTGCTCAGTACCACATGTACTGCAACACAAGTGCGCATGATTTCTACTACTGGAAATATCAATACCAAAACCAAGACCAATACCAATACCTGTGCATGAGGAATAACTGTATCTGTGTTGGTAATAAGGACAGCTGTACATGCTACAGTAGCACTTTGTCGTCCTGCTTTTGTGAGACGTCCAACAATAACAGAACTAACCCTACAGCAGCTAGTCCATTGAGACTCTCTCAATGTGTGTTTTTAAATGACACGATCATCTGCACTGGTGCTCAGTACCGCATGCACTGCAACACAAGAATGCATTATTTTAACTACCTACATCAAAATCTAAACCAGTATCAGTACAAATGCTGGAATAATGACTGTAACTGTGTTGGTAATAAGGACACCTGTACTTGCTCCAGTAGCACTTTGTCCTCCTGCTTCTGCGAGACTAACAGCAATTACATTGCTCTCACGACAGCAGTTAGTCCAGTCTATGACTGTGGGCTTTATAATGACATGTACATCTGCACTGGTGCTCAGTACCACATGTACTGCAACACAAGTGTGCATGACTTCCATTACTGGATCAACCATTTCCATTGTTTTAATAATAAATGTAGCTGCATTGGTAATAAGGACACTTGTATGTGCTACTATAATATGTCCTCCTCCTGCTCCTGTACAAATTACAACAATAGCATCACTATCCCTGCTGCAGTTAGACCAGTCTACGACTGTGGGCTTTATAACGACACGTACATCTGCACTGGTGCTCAGTACCGCATGTACTGCAACACAAGAATGCATTATTTTGACTACCAGATATATAGAAACCAAAACCAATATCAATGCTGGAGTAATAACTGTGACTGCGTTGGTAATAAGGACACCTGTACCTGCTCTCGTAGCACTCTGTCCTCCTGCTTCTGTGAGACTTATGGTAATATTGTTGCTCTCAATAGAGCAGTTAGTCCAGCTTATGGCTGTGTGCTTCACAATGACACGTACATCTGCACTGGTGCTCAGTACCACATGTACTGCAACACAAGTGCGCATGATTTCTACTACTGGAGATACCAGTACCAAAACCAAGACCAAGACCAATACCTGTGCATGAGTAATGACTGTATCTGTGTTGGTAATAAGGACACCTGTGCATGCTACAGTAGCACTTTGTCTTCCTGCTTTTGTGAGACGTACAACAATAACAGCACTATCCCTACAGCAGTTAGTCCATTGAGACTCTCTCAATGTGTGTTTTTAAATGACACGTACATCTGCACTGGGGATCAGTACCGCATGCACTGCAACACAAGAATGCATTATTTTAACTACCGGAGATATCAGAACCAAAACCACTATGAATACCAATGCGGGAACAACTGCGCCTGCATTAGTAATAATGACACTTGTACATGCTACAGTCATACCAACTCCTCCTGCTTCTGCGAGTATAATATCTCCACTCCAACCACACTCAGTCCAACTACTACAGGTACGCATGTTTCTAGACTGAAATGTGATGTTTGATTTTACTGTATTCATGTTATAATGATGAGTTCCCTCACTACAGGTCCGTATAACACCGATAACATGCCGGATCAATGCAGGGTAAGCTGAATATTTACATAGTTCACAGAATCTTTGTGTTTAATTCTTATAGCTCAATTGTGATTTCAGAGTCAGAACTCTACAGGATGTTTTCAAAATCTTCTTGAAAACAAAGAGAACATTACAGCGCAAAGTCTTTCTTTGGATGTAAGTCTTTTAAAAATTGATAAAATAATCAAATCTGTGTCAGTTACATAATGATTGACATTATTCTTATTGCCTCTGATCAATTTCTCTGATCAATAAATTAGACTGTGACCACCCTTTTGACAACGGCCATCAACGCTTCAGAGAAGATTTTAGAGTCATCATCATCAGTCAGCCCAACTGAACTAGCCTCCTATGGAAACCGTGTGTTAAAAATTAGCGAGAAACTCATATCTACATTGGTGAAGCCAACAGACACGAGTGACAATGTCAGTTTTACTCTCGCCACTGTAGGTAAGTGAGGAATTAGGTTTTATTAACCAAGTTCGGGAGGAGCATCCCTCCACCGCCTAATCTTATTACTTCTTACTATTCCTATACCTCGGACAGCAACCCAAATAGTTACACATTACCTTTTTTAGTAACTATATAACAGAGAGCAGAAAACACTGTGTCACGTTTAGTGTCTGCGTTTGCCTGTGTCACCCAGTTTGTACCTATGTTTCTTTGATTTAATCCCTATCACCTGTTGTCTTGTTAATTAAGTCATTATGAGTTCATTTGTCCGATTTGACACCGCTGCAATTGTGATTCTGCTTCCGTGTCTGCTTCAACCAGCCTGTGACAGAATGACAGACCAAAAATATGGATCTTGCAGCAGTTCAGATTCTCCTACTCACCCAGGAGGATCAGTCCCTCAAGGCCCACACACAGACGTATTTGTACTTAGTACCGTTTGTTCATTATCATGACACCAGCTTCTGTGGGTTCTTCTGGGCAGGTCTCAACGCAGAGACCAAAGCGCGCCTGCCCGGATATGGGCCTTCGGGGGAACTTCCAGGATTATGTTGAGTGGGTGCTTTGGCATAATGGGTCTTCATTCACCATTGGGCTCTGCGACAGCCATGAAGAGGAGACCGCCCTGCCAGAGTCTCGTCCCATCGATAGCGCCCTGCCAGAGAATCTTCGTGTCATGCCAGCCATCAGGCCCAGTACCGTGTTGGTCTATGGGCGATCAAGATTAATGTCCAGCGTGATGGACCTACCTTTCTTGTCAGTGCGGATGGCCATGAAGATCGCCCTGCCAGAGTCTCGTTCCTCTGAGTCCGCCCAGCCAGGGTCTTTTTCTGCCAAGTCCGCCCAGCCAGGTTCTCGTCCCTCTGAGTCCGCCCAGCCAGGGTCTCGTTCCTCTGAATCCGCCCAGCCAGGGTCTCGTTCCTCTGAGTCCGCCCAGCCAGGGTCTCGTTCCTCTGAGTCAGCCCAGCCAGGGTCTCGTTCCTCTGAGTCAGCCCAGCCAAGGTCTCGTTCCTCTGAGTCCACCCAGCCAGGGTCTCATTCTGCCGAGTCTGCCCAGCCAGGGTCTCGTTCCTCTGAGTCCGCCCAGCCAGGGTCTTTTTCTGCAGAGTCCGCCCAGCCAGGTTCTCGTCCCTCTGAGTCCCCCAGCCTGGGTCTCGTTCCTCTGAGTCAGCCCAGCCAGGGTCTCGTTCCTCTGAGTCAGCCCAGCCAGGGTCTTGTTCTGCCGAGTCCGCCCAGCCAGGGTCTTGTTCTGCCGAGTCCGCCCAGCCAGGGTCTTGTTCCTCTGAGTCCACCCAGCAAGGGTCTCGGCCCTCTGAGTCCACCCAGCCAGGGTCTCGTTCTGCCGAGTCCGCCCAGCCAGGGTCTCGTTCTGCAGAGTCTGCCCAGCCAGGGTCTCGTTCTGCCGAGACTCCCGAGCCAGGGTCTCGTTCTGCCAAGACTCCCCAGCCAGAGTCTCGTTCTGCCGAGTCAGCCCAGCCAGGGTCTCGTTCCTCTGAGTCTGCCCAGCCAGGGTCTCGTTCCTCTAAATCCACCCAGCCAGGGTCTCGTTCTGCCGAGTCCGCCCAGCCAGGGTCTCATTCTGCAGAGTCCATAGTTCCTGTGTTTCGTCCCACCGAGACCACCATTCCAGAGTCTCTTCCCGTCATGCCTGGCCAGCCTGATCTTCACGTCATGTAGGGCTGTCGCGGTAACCGCAATATTGTAGTACCGCGCTTCTGTATAAATTGCACCATAAAATGCGTGTCAGCAGCAGCGCTGGTCAGCATCCCACAGCAAAAGGAAGCCGCGGGGAAATAAAATCAGTGAGTCACGCATTGAATCAATGCTATATGGGTCTCTAATAAGTGAAGCATCAGCTTCAGCGTTGCCCATGCGACGCATTGCTGCTCAGCTGAGCCTTGAATAGTTGAACCTCAAAGTTAAAAGTAATTAACATCTTGTTTCTTTACATCTCTTTTAATGAATCAGCTTTTTTAAACGTGTTCGTTGAATGAACGGTTCAATGACTCGCTCAAAGTCTGTTGTCATAACAATATGCGCGCTGAGTGAAAGTCACATATTGGGCATATTCTGTAGACGCTGTTTAGTTTCGGTTACATTGGTTACTGAAAATGTCCTCGTTTTTGTCCACATCGTAAGCTTTATTTATATAGCAACAAACACATATAACTTAAATAAATAAATGGCGGCAATACCGCATATCGCGCTATTGAGCCACTCAACATTACCGCAAGGGAAATTCCATAACCGCGACAGCCCTTACATCATGTCTGTCCAGCCTGGTCTTCACGTCATGCCCGAACCCTGATCTTCACGTCATGCCATGGGCTATAAGTCTCCACTATGGCCGCCCGAAGGGTCATCTCCACCATGGCCACCTGCACAGCCAGCTCCGCCCTGGCTGCCTGAACAGCCCATTTAGCCCTTCCACCCCTATGGATGTAATCGCACCTTGCAGTAGGGGAAACTTCTGTCACGTTTAGTGTCTGTTTCGTTTGCCTGTGTCAACCAGTTTGTACCTATGTTTCTTTGATTTAATCCCTATCACCTGTTGTCTTGTTAATCAAGTCATTATGAGTTCATTTCTCCCAGCTGTGTCCGTTCCTTTTCTGTCATTGTCGCTACATGCCTGGTTGTTCCGTTCGTGTTCTCTTTGTATCCTGTCAGTTATCTAGTTTGATAAACACTACTGCAATTGCGATCCTGCTTCCATGCCTGCTTCAACCAGCCCGTGACACACTGCTTGTATCTTTTGTTGCTGATGTCAAAAGTCAGAATTTTGGTGCAAATTCATCCTTTTTTTTTGGTAGAAATGTCTTGGGAAAAAGAAAGATGACAATAAATATGTTCACTTACAGTGAAGTTTGTGGTGACCACAATGTGTTTTGTGAATATATTGCCTAAAAACATTCAACATTCACAAGACATTTATCCAACAATAAAACAGGAAGTCTGTGGAGCTTACAGTATTAATCAATTATTGGATTTAATTTTAAGGACATTTTAGTTTAAACAATCACATATGATATGAATACCCAACAATAGTAAATATTCAATTATCAAACATCAATTTATTTGTCATTGTCTTTAAATTGGACTTTTGTACAGTCCCTCCAGTTTTTCGTGAAAAAGGTTTACAACGCAAAATCAACAAAATGTCGCATTTTTTGCGATCCTGCATAATTCTTAATTTAAACGCAAAATAATCACAAAAATGAAAAAGACCTCACAAAATATTCAATTATAATAACCCAAATGAAATATCTCTAGTTGAATTAAAGTTTCAATGTATTTGGATACAGATGTTGTGCACGAGTGATGTCTGTGAGCGGTCTGTCAGAAACATGTGTCTCACCTGCCCTCTCACATAAGCGCCAGGCACCGATTTAAGTGTCAAATCGCTAAAGATTTTTTCTTTTTTTTATATCCAGCTATATGTAGCTGAATCAGCCAATATCCGATCAGTTTTCATTGGGCAGTATAGGCTACGACAAACTTGATTGAATGACATCACAAAAAGAATGATATGCTTAATGGTACTAAAAAGAATTATTAAAAGTGCAGTATACCGCGAAAGAGAACTAAGTGACTGATTGACAGAGTGACAGTCTGTCTCTAACTAAGTTACTGCCTGACTGCAGTGTGTGTGTGTGTGTGTGTGTGCGTGTGCGTGTGTGTGTGTGTGTGCGTGTGTGTGTGTGTGTGTGTGTGTGTGTGTGTGTGTGTGAGTGTGACTGACTGACTACGTCCCCGCCTCCCAGCGTTAGAGTATTGAATTCTCCTTTATCGCTCTTGAACAAATGCACATAGCTGCAATTACTTCAAAATATTCATCTTGGCGAGTAGTTATGTAAAACAATCAATAATAATAACTCATTGGGACGTTTGTCATTACTGCAGTAGGTCTTAAAGTGACAGTAACCTAGTTTACCTCCTGTTGTCAGTGTTGTTAATGTTAATCAAGCAACAAGATATTAATGTTAATATTTCCAAAGGTCAGGTATAAAAATTGCCCATAGTTTGTTTTAAAAGTTAATTTGAAGAGAATTTGATTAGACAAAAATAAACAAGCTTTATGTATTTTGTTTGTGATTTGTGTCATGTATGATAATTTTGCATCTGACATAATGCTATTATGGTAAATAAATGTTATGTCCTAATTATAAAATATAAAAATCGCACATTTTTTCACAAATTTCTGGAAATTACCACCACAAAATCAGTTATTTTGATCGCAAAAATCACACAAAAAAAGTGCAATCCTGGAGGGACTGTTTATAAAAAAAGATAAATGATGCAAATCATTTATTAAAGCCTATAATTGTTGTTTGTTTATAATCAGAGGGACAAATCTTCATGGTTGGACCAAATGTAGCCTTAGATAAAATCCCTCGACTTGACACAACAAGTTCTTCTGTGGACATCGACCTCATTGGGATCGCCAATAACAACATTGAAGGTATGTGATACATATAAAAATAGTAGAAAGAGATGTCATACCATCACCACTAAAACTCATTTATTTACTTTTAAATTGTTGTTGTTTTAACACAGTGTTACAAGCATGCTTCTGTTTCTGTCACACAGGATTTGCTGCTGTGGCTTTCATGAGTTTTCACACAATGGAGAATCTACTTAAGCCCGACTTCTTTAACACATCAAATGACGTGGTTAAAACCATGATGTCCACTGTGATCTCAGTTACTCTTCCCAGAACCACCAATACTAAACTCACCAAACCAGTCAACTTCACCCTCAAACACATCAGAGTGAGAGACTGAAATGTGTTTTTGTCCAACCTGAGATCTGATGACCATCTGAAGACCTCTAATATCCAGTGTTTTAATATTTCCTACATGTACTTGCTTCGTTTTGCAGGATTCTGCCCCCAGCGGTTCTCTGTCCTGTGTGTACTGGAATATCAGCGAGTGGATTGTAGATGGTTGTTCTGTTTTAGAGACCAACAGCAACTACACTGTGTGTTCCTGTGTTCATCTGTCAACATTCGCTCTGATGCAAACCAGCCCCCGCCCATCTGAGGTATGAAAGACAATGAGTTAAACCAGTGGATGGTCAACATTTATAGTGACCATTAAAGAACAGCACAGATGTGGCACTCATATACTCTCACATGTTTTCTCAGAGCGATCCACGGCTGGACCTGTTAACTTTGGTGTGTGTGACGGTGGGGCTGGTGTTCCTCAGTTCAGCCCTGTTGACCTTTGCCCTTTGTCGGTGGACTCGTATAGGTGATTGGATCGTTGGTCACTCTGGTTGTGTCAGGCTGGTTCCTGGAGGCTATGTCAGGGAACTGTGAGTTTTTATTTTTTATTTTTGTGATCTGATAAAAATGCAATGTCCTGCCCAAGATTAAAACGTTCAAACAGTCAACACCTGAAATGCTATTTCAACGCTGGCTCAGTTTGTGGTTCTTGGTTGATCCTGGATTCTGGGTTTCTTCACAACTGGCATTAAGGAGCTGAAGTTCTTCTTCGGTCACATAGACACTGTAAAGTTTCAGGAGTGAAAACTGCATTTAAATGCGGGATTGAGTCCTGTTAATTATCATTCAATTTGACTACAGAACACATGACTCACTCTCGAAATGGTGTGAATTGACACTGTGGTTACCCTAGCAATGTTCTGACGTCTACATGCGTTTGGTATCCACTATTCAGAACGAAGTAATATTACAATGACAAAAGTTTATATTCAGTCATTTTAACTGAAGCACAGTGGACGAAGGCGTTGTGTTTAGTTTATGCTTAATGCTGCTTCTGCATGTCCACTTAACAGAAGTGTTTTTGGGCTTTATGTTTAAGCTCAAGTGGTGCTCACTGCAGAGTCAAATGACATCCAGCTCCTCCTCTCTGGTCTAATGGGGTGGAGGGATAAAGTTGTGGGTGTGGTTGGATAATATGTGATGCGATCTGGGAAAACCCACCACATGGTGAAATTTGACATATTACAGGTTTCGATACCATATTAAAGCTGAGTTCAAGCCCTTTCCAAATCTGATTGTATTCCTTTTATAGTTTGTCTGTAACAAAAGTTATGGTTATCTGAAGTCGGCTGATCGCTATGATTTTCAGAAACGGAATTTTGAGTAAAACAGGTTTAATTAACGGTCACGTCCTGCTAGCTGGACGACTGGCGCTCCCTTTTTTATTGCCTTATTGCCTTCATATCACATATTTTAGTAATCATCATAGATTAGGTATCATTCGAAAGCTGACGAACTCAAAATTAATCCTGTGCAAACCGTTTCGAAATTGGACGATTGAGAGGCGAGCAAGGTCTTTTAAACGAGCAGTTTCAAACTCTGTTCTCTTGTGCTCCGCATCACACCACACGATAACACTGGATAAAAATAAATAAATAAAAACTTGCGGGCTGTTGTAGTTCACCCAGGACTGGACTTTATTCTGTTATGTGGTTTATCTTGATAGGTGAACTGTCTTTGTAGTGTTAAGAGAAGGAGAGCTAAACGCTAAAATATACCTCCGCTCCGCCTGCGTGTTCTTAAAGAGAAACAGTCTTTTCAGCTGGACATTATAAATCGCTATTTTTCTGCACTAAACTAGTGAATTTTCCCAAGATATATTCAGAGATGATAAACAAGATGTTATGGAATAATAATTAGGCTCAAATTACATTCGCTCCTCCTCTCTGGACGTCTAGCAAGGGTAGCTAGACACAATCTCAACCCATTTGCTCTCCAGAGAGCAGCATTTCTGTAAGCTCGGCTTATACAGCAATTGAGTTTATGGACCAAAAATGCAAGCAAATTTGGCACACACCAAGTCAAAACCAAACATCTATAAGAAAAATATATATTCAATCTTTTTTCCCCATGATACCACAATTGTTTGATTAACCTTAATGAAACAGACAGCCTATATATCAAGACCTAATGTATCGCACGGATCTAATATAAATGTTACAAATCAGATGTTTTCCCCCACAGTTAACCAAATGTTCACATAAGACATTACAGAATGTTTGCATGAATACTCGCCAAGACAGATATTTGGAAATACTGTGATTCTGTTTGTATATCAGGATCCGCTCTGTCTGAGGCGTCACGTTTATATGCACGATTCAGATTTGTGTCAGCTCTCTGTCTAGATCAGTGGTTCACACTCATTTCACTCATTTCACCAACGTATTCTATGAGAAGTCTGGATATGGAAGACTACTGTATTTATTTATTTATTTTTAAATATAAACACAGGTCCTGTTCTTATTTTGGAAAACTGTGTCTTTTAGAGAGAAATGTCAGAGGCAGTTGTTTAATTTGTTACTACTCTTGAACATTTTGTCATGGGAAAGAAATGGAAAAGATCCACCATCTGTCAAAAATTCAAGCTGACACATAATGTTTTTGATCTCCTGTCTGTCTGTCTGCATAACAGTGGTCATTTTCTAATTTTAAACTTTTAAAACTACTTTAAACCTTTAGCCCTGGCTTTCTCAAGGTAAAAACAGTTTAAAATCTTTTTTTCCTATTTTGTCCTCATCGATGATTTCAGCCATTTTATAATCCTGATCCATAGGAAAACCATTTTGTCTCCAGAGACATCAGTATTTTTCAGCATTTTCTTCTGAAAATGCAAATGCAAAACACATTTATTATAAACAAATTCCATTGTGGTTTATGAGTTTCAGAGGTTAAATTGATTTCATGAAGTCACTCAGCTCCTCTGGTCTCATTCCTGTCCAGGTCAGGCAACAGTACTGGACGTGCTTCTGAAGACTCTGCTGTGGACCCAACAACATCAAAAGTGTCCCAAGAAAAACAGAACAACGTCACGTTAAACCTAGAACGCGTGAACCAAAATATCTACAGCAATGCGTAAATGATCCTATTATTGGCAAGTATCCTATTATTGATAAATAAATAATCAAGCATGAATGTGTGTAGTATGAATGCAATCCGAATGTTCTACATCCGCCACCACGTGAGCTATAGAGCGTGTTGTGTGGTTATCATTCATAAATCTTCTCCCATATGGATAGTAAAATGTCTATTGGATGTAATCTTGGCAGAAGCTGGTATGAAGGTCATCCAGGTACTTTAGTATACGGTTGGTGTCTGAAGCTAATTCTGGGACAGAGCCAAGAAATCACCACAGGTTTTATAGTAATCCAAAACAAATTAAGAAAATAAATATTATTATTGACAAAAATGTATAGGAAATGAATGTCATAGGAAATGAAAATGGGTCACTATGCCCCCCTTTATGCATTATTGGGGTCGTGATAAAAAAAAAATATCTGAAACTTTTTTTTAAAAGAATTTATGGAATATCAAATACATTTTTTCTGACGAAATATATTAAAACATCACAGCATTCTGGATTTGAGCCCTTTATACATTCAAGGTGCGGAAAATAAAAAGTGACAGACGTGACTAATGAGGGCAATCAACAGATCACAGTACGTCACTGTCCACGACCCAACATGTGCTGATTCAGCACGTTCAATTAGTGACGAGAGCTGGCCAATCCCAACGGGGGTAACACACTGACATGACAAAACTCGACAAGTGTCTGATGTCATCTGTTGGTTCAGTGTGAATTGGCCTACAGTCTCAACTTCTTTCTGCAAATAATATTAAAACATGTTATCTGTACAGGTTTCTTAATATTACAACATTACTTTTAATACTACTGACGTAAATTAAATAACTCATTTAAGCACTTACAATTTTTTTTTTTTGGGTGGAGGGTAAAAGTTTGCAGACTGTTTTTGTTTCCTTCATATAAAAGCTGTATATGGACTAAATGCTTGAAAAATACAAAACCTAAAAAAGTACTTCATGCTTTTCATGCTCATGGTAAATGGAAATATTGAATAACTCTACATTGTTTTGTATCATAAAAGTAAATTTTTAAATATTTGGCATGTATCATCTCTAATGAATGCAACTGTTAAACTTCAATTATATTTAAATGTTTAGCAATTATATTTTATTTTGTCAAGCTCAGAAAGCCTTCATTGGGTTATCATTTCTCTGTTAAAACATGTTATACGAGTATCTTCATTTATAACTGTTAACAGTTTTGATATGAAGCTCATGACCTATTTTATTTAGTCTTTTTTAAAAAAAAAAAATTCTTTTGATTTTCTCAATGGAGAGTGAAAAGAATATTTTTACATTTTCACATTTTACATTTTTTTATGTGTGCATGGTGAAGGGATATGAATTTACATTGAATTATATCATAGTTGTTTAACTGCAAAGTTGTGAATTTGTTAATCTTGCAATTATATTTTTATTTGTCGAGCTCGGAAAGCTGTTTCTTCTGTAAGCACCCATTTCGCAGTATATTACAATATTCATATGCCTCGTGGAAAATATGTCATTTTTGTAACAACATATCTCAATAAACAAAACAATTAAAAAAAATGTATAAAAATTGTGTTTAAAACGTGTTTTTTTTTTTCAGGCTCCACAAAAGAACAAAGCTCCAGTGACTTTGATTTGAGACGAATACCCTAAATTATAAATCAAGCCATCTTCCTCAGGATTTATGTATTTAAAATGCAACATCAGTAAACCTTAGAACTGCATATGCAAATGACATATAACAAACAAGCATATAACAAACAAGCCCTGCGATCACAATATTAAAAGAACAAGAATTCTTCCCTTTTCAAGATTGAATTTTATCAAGACTTTATGCTTCATTCAACTGGTTCTAAATCAAGAGGACAGAAAAATATTTATTTCACCAGTCGTTTAGACTAGAGCAAGGTCAAAATTAATTACTTATTTTATTAATCTGTTGATGTAATACAACTTCATGACCCTAAAGGCATAGGCCTACCTGCTTTATGTCCAGGGAAAAGGATGCAGAGGCGTCAGAGCTGGTTGTACAAGCAAGAGATATTTATTTAAGATAATAAATCAGCAGAGTAAAATAAACAGATAAGTGTTTTATGTGAAAAATAATACATTATATCCATTATAAAATTAGGCTATATAGAGCAGATAAATAAATATTTGTTGAAAAACATAGATGACTTTGTAATTCATGTTTCCTTACTAAAGGTACTTAATCTACATCTGTTGTAATTTGTGATTAGTACACACTAAAGACACAATATTATACTGTACTGTTGAGAAGAAATGTTTTCTGAAGTGTGCTGACAGGTCATCCAATGAAACCGAATGTTTGATGAGCAGAATTTAGGATTTTATTCACATTAATATTCATCAGTGTATGCAGTGTGATGAATTTGAACTAAACCTCACAATTAATATGGATTAGGTTCCTCTGACACACTTGTGTTATTTCGAATGTGTATTATGTATGCACGTTTATGTGCGATTTTGTGATTTTAGCATGTGAACGGAACTTTTATTTTGAAGTGCCGGTGACGTCATAAGGATGCGCCGCGCTCCCGCACTCTTGTTATTAGGCTGAAGAGAGGTTCGTGTTTTTAATCGTTTAAAGTGTTTAAATCTATGCAACCCGTCCTGGTAAAGCTATATTTTTTTTAATTAACTGTAAAACTATTTGAATACATCATATAGCATTATCTGACTCTTATTTGTATGAGTAAAATGCATCCATTGTCTATGATCCATACATGAGTAACAGTAAAATCAGTTCATTTTCAGTAACATGAGTAGAATTGTTTACTTATATTTTAATTTATTTAGCCTAGCTATGCAATTACCTGTTTATTTACTCATTTATATAATGATTTATTTACTATTAACATTACAAAAAAGTGAAATAAAAAAACTTTTGACTTCTGTCCCTGCATTAATCCTCTCAGACAGGAGAGAGCTGGCTCTATCTAAACACATATCAACCGTCTTAATTTATTGCCTTTATATTTTTCTTGTGGCCCATACATTATAATGATAGTGGAAAAATAACGTTCTTTTTAGTCAGTGTTTGAAATAAAGCTGCTATTGTTTTTTATCAATGACTGATTATTGTGCTGGCCTAATAAAGGCTATTATTATGTACTTATTAATAATCATATTATTAATAAGACCGTATTAATAAGACTGCACAATGTGTTTAAACCATTTTAAACCCCATAATATAGCATATTGCTGTTGTGAATTCACAAATGCACTTCATGTATGTATGTTAAGTAAGTTTAAAGGCCACAAAAATATCAGATTAGCTGATTAATCATCAAAAGAATTAATTGATTACCAAAATAATAATAAGGGCTGACGTACTTCACTTGTGAGTGACGTCAAAAAGGTAAGGTTCAAAAAGGAAGTCAGATTATGATTTCACTTTTTTAACTTTAGTTAGTGTGTAATGTTGCTGTTTGAGCGTAAACAACATCTGCAAAGTTACAACTCTCAAAGTTCAAAGCAAATATTTGCTTTTAAAGAAATAATTTTTTAAGAACATTCTTCCCAGGTTAGTGACATTGCCAACCCTAAAATTTGCATAAACCCCGCCCCTGGTAACACGGTCCATGTTGAGAAGAGAAAGAGTGGTTGTAATCCAGCACATTTGTGAGTCAGCTCAAACTGTAGCATCTGTCTTGTCACTCTGTGTGCGTCTCACAACAATTCCTATACAAGCGATTTATATATTATCGTGACAGAATATGCTAATTGAAGATAGTTAACTCCACATCAGCAACATAAATTCATCAACTAACCATTCAGAGACGTCCTGTTGCACTGTACATGTTGTCACTTCTTCATGAGTCTCTCCATCTTTGTCTGACTCCAGTTTAAACAAAAGGCAGAACAGTTTCAGACATTTTAGAGTGTGTCTGCGTGACAGCGTGAGGTAATCGGAGATGCTAACCGCTAACAGCTCTTTAAAGGGCCATACACAAAACGGTGCATTTTTGCTTACCCTCAAAAAGTGACAACAACAACAACAACAAAAATCTGTGGGGTATTTTGAGCTAAAACTTCACATACACACTCTGGGGACATCAGAGATTTATTTTACATTTTGTGAAAAGGGCATTATAGCCTACCACCCCTTTAAGAGACACACTCGGAGAATTAGTTTGGATGTGTTTTTCTTTTTTGTTAATTATTCTCTTCTTAAACAGGACAAACACACAGAAAAACTCTTGGTGAAGCGACTGAGATCCACGTGACACTATTATAAAGATGGCGTTTATTAAAGAGGAGATTGAAGAAATGAAGATTGTAGAAACATTCAGTGTGAAACATGAAGAAACACTCAGTGTGAAACGTGAAGATACTGAGGAGCAAACAGGTTGGTTGGTTTGTCTAGATGGACTGTGGATTTCACATATATGAAACTGAGACACTAGTGCTGTAACTTGTTTTAATTTAATATTAGTGCTTAAATTACTTAAAACATCAAATAAAATTAGATTCAACCATGAAGGATTTGCAACAGTGAGATTATTTAAACTACTCAAAATGCACTCTGATCAATTACAGCTTTTAAAAGCAAATAAGACTGAAACACATTTGTGTGGGCAGTCTTTTAAAGAAATTTGTTTAAGTTGGATTAATAAAAAAAAAAAGGTTTGAATGATGATTCACTCAAAGACTTCACTTGTTTCATTACTGGATGAATGAGTGTTTTTCTTGAGTAAATAGTTAAATGAAAATAATTTTTGAAAAACGTTTTAAATGAAAAACTTTTGCTACGATGCAACTGATACAATCTTTATTTTAAGTCCCTAGTACCTTTCAAAAGGATTTGGGCCCATTCTATTTAAATCTCTACCGTAGACATCAGTGTTCATAGTATAATGATCTTAAACTTTTATCCAAATATATTATTATATATTATATCCAGTAATTTGAATGTTTGTTTGACAGAAAGAATGTTGAAAAGGGTTATATTATAGACCTAAACAAGATACATTTATTCTGATGCCCGCATTCTGGTGCTCTGGTGCTCCAAACTCACTGTTGAGAGTGGCGAGGGAGAGAGACCTTGCGTGTGTGCCTCATGAAGCGCATGTGAGATGGAGAGCATCATGATTAGGGTTGGGTATCGAGAATCGAGTATCGATTGGAACCGGGACTAACTTTTCATTTTTCCCGGAATCGTTCAAAAGTTAAAATTTCGATTCCTAGTTTCGATATTCACAGTCCGCCGAGCGGAAGAAGAAACCGCTGAACAACACCAAAGAAGAAGCGTCTACCGGAAGTGTTGGCATAACCGCGCGAGTCGAACATGAGTAGCTTATGTCGGTTGTCCAAAGTGTGGCTTCACTTTTCTAAAAATAACGAAATCTCGGCAAAATGCTAAATTTGTGACAAAATGAGTATTTGTGACAGAAGGAGTATTTCCTTCAGAAAGGATTATTTCCTTTAGAAAGACCGTTGGTTAGCAAGGTTAGCTAAACTTTTTTGACCCTGCCTCTTAAAAGAATCGGAATCGAGAATCGTTAGGAACCGGAATCGAAACAAGGAATCGGAATCAGAATCGTTCAAATTCGAACGATACTCAACCCTAATTATGATTGGCCTGTTTCTACCAATCACTAGTAAACAATCCCCGTGACGTAAGCAGACCAACTAATAATCGATAATGACATTCGCTGAGAACGATTTTCATAATCGATTATATTGATTTTATTCATTAGTTGTTGCAGCCCTAAGAAACACTGATTAAATAGCAATAAAAAAGCAGGCCAAATGGCATATTGGACGTGAATCGATAATTCTGTTCATTAAGAACTTTCTGAACTAAGCGATTCACTAGAATTAATCAGTTTTTCCAAAGCTACACATGTACAGATCGTTTAAGACGAACCTATTCAATCAAATAAATCGAAACTTACCAGCGCGAGATAAGAGATGTTGTTTACCTCCACTCACTCGTCAGTGTACAAATGTGATAAAAAACAGAGATAGCTCGATTGTTTCCTTTGTCTCGAAATTGATAAGTAAAAGAATAGCCCATTCAACTTTCACTTACTTTGACATGTTTCAGTAGGTCCGGCGCTGTCCCATGAACTGTGAGCCCAGGTACCTCGACTTAAAGGGGAGGTTCGAAAGTTTGGACGTTGGGCCTCGTTTCCAAGTTAGCCTTAGTGTTATTTATCAGTGGAGACAGTTTTCAAAAAATGTCATCTAGTCGTTCCAGTTGCATAGTTCGTCGGTGCTAGGCTACCGCGAGTCAACGGTAACTGCTAGCCTGCCATTAAAAACTGTTTTACCCACTCCACAGTACACCAAAAGCAAATAAACTATAACTATCGATATGTAAAATCGAATAATGTAAAAAATAAACTACTCTTGCATCTCAATTATCGCAATATATTTACAGGAACTAGTTTCTCAGCAGTGGCGGAATTTTACTTTACTCTGGTTGGTAGGACTGGGCCGAAAAGTAAACACAGAACCGAAGCGCACTACAATCGGGACTAGACGAGACTACCTCTCTCTCACTACCTCTCTTGGTTGCCTAGGTAACTATATATCACTCCGCAGCTGCCGTAGACTGTGCTAATAAATACAGGGAACAAAGAATAACTATTGCAATGCGATCAAAGGGTAGATTTCTAACATTATTCTCTCAACAGACAATTACATCGATAGTCTGACATTATAATTTACTTGCTTTTGGTATACTGTGGAGTGGGGAAAACTCGTCGAACATTACGGCATACGGCCCGGTAAGAGTACGAAACAATTCCCTCTTTATATAATTCCCTGACTTGAATATTGCACATAGTTTAATTTTCATAACTTTGTAACATGTAAAATCATTAAATGCACAAATGAGCAACATTTTAAATGCTTTGTGATAATTAGGTCACTGAAAATAAATTATATTATTTCCTGGGGGGGGGAAAAAACATGATCAGAAATCAGGCCATGCCTACCAGACATTTTCTAAGAGTGTGATGTCAAAGTGCCCTATTTCTTCTGAACCAGATATGCCCACAGGGCCCATGGTCCTATTGTTCGTCTAAGGATAATTATCATGCTTTTTGGAGCTTTTGGGGATCTTACCCTGCTTACCCTACCCTGATCTTACACATAGCTGTACGGATTTGTATTCATACATTTATTCTCATCTAGAAAAAAAACTACACTGACAATGTTTAGCTCAGACAAACAATAAGTGTTTGAGGCTTTGCATATTTGGGTGTTTTGATGCTCTTAGCATGTTTAAAATTTCATGAAATTCTGCACACACATCAGAGTTGTCGGCCATTGGTGGTAGGAAACAGCTAAAACATGGACATAGACATTAACTTCGGACCTGGAGGGTCAATGTCCTGCTAAGTTTAATTCCATCCCTAATGAAACGCACTTACCTGTGTGTTCAAGAAACCATGAAGACATTGGTTAGATTGTTCAGTTGTGTTTAATAAGGGATTGATCTAGACCAGGGCCAGGGGTGTCCAAACTCTGCACAGTTTAGCTCCATCTTGCCTCAACACACCTCCTTGGAAGTTTCTAGCATGCGCCTAGTAAGACCTTGATTAGCTGGTTCAGGTGTTTAATTGCGGTTGTAACTGAACTTTGGTAAGTAGTGGCCCTCCAGGAGCAGAGTTGCTCATCACTGACCACCAAAGGAGCAGGATTGGACACCCCTGATCTAGACTATGTTGGGCAGTGACCCTCCAGGACCAGAGTTGCTCATCCCTGACCTGAAGTCACCAAACTTGGTAAGAATATTGTTCTCCTCAAGCTAGACAACTTTCAAAATCACGTGGATGTGGCTATTGTGGGTCAGGGACATATCTCTCATATCTCTCAATTCACCCACTTAAATGCATCTGCCCACCTTGTGACGATGGTGTCGTAGTCCTTGATGCTGTTTTTGATGCTTTAAATGTCTAGATATTTTGATGTCTGTTTGTGCCATTAAACTGGGGTTAACATGTATTTGTCTTTTTTTTGCCTTAGATCTGATGATGCTAAAAGAGGAGATTCAAGATCCGAAAGAAACAGAAGAGAAAGATCAGTTTGAAAAACATTATTTCACAACTGGAGAAAAATCATTAAGTTGCTCACAGACTGAAAAGACTTCACCAAAAAGTGCTCAAAAGACAGCAAATAGAAGTTATTTCACCTGCCAACAGTGTGGAAAGAGTTTCACTCAAAAAGGAAATCTTAAATGTCACATGAGAATTCACACCGGAGAGAAGCCTTTCACATGTCCACAGTGTGGAAAGAGTTTCACACATCAAGGAACCCTTTATACACATATGAAAGTTCACACTGGAGAGAGCCCGTACACCTGCAAACTGTGTGGAAAAACCTTGAATCGAAAAGGAAATCTTAACACTCACATGAGAGTTCACACTGGAGAGAAACCTTTCACATGTGATAAGTGTGGAAAATGTTTCACACGTAAAGAGAGCCTTAATAACCACGTGAGGGTTCATCTAAAAGATAGCTGTTGTATATGCCGTCAGTGTGGAAGAAGTTTCACAGACAAGAAACAGCTTAAGAGGCACGTGAAAACTCACTCTGGAGAGAAGTCTTACATGTGCCATTACTGTGGAATGAGTTGCGCAAACAACACAAACCTTGAAGTCCATGTGAGAGGTCACACTGGAGAGAAGCCTTACAGCTGCCAACAGTGTGGAAAGACTTTCAATCGAAAAGAAAGTCTTAAGACTCATATGAGAAGTCACACTGGAGAGAAGCCTTTCACCTGCAAACTGTGTGGAAAGAGTTTTACACATAAAGGATCCTGTTATAGCCACATGAAAGTTCACACTGGAGGGAAGCGTTTCACCTATCTTTAGTGTGAAGAGATTCGGCATCAAATAGATCTGAAAAGTCATTTGCAGACTAGTTTAAGCAGTGTTTTGAGTGGTGTGATTTCAAAAAGAAAGGCTTGTAAAACCATTAAATTCACTTTCAAAACTTTAAGTCCATTTAGGCCTGGTTTCACAGACAGAGCTTATATTAAGCCAGGATTAGGCTTTAGTTCAATCAGGGAATTTAAGTAGCTTTTATAAACCTGCCTTAAAAAAAACCAAAACATTACTGGTGTATATCTTGAGACAAAACAATGGCACTGAACCACTGACTTAATTTAAGGGTGTATTCACACCCGTATTGTTTTGTTTGAATTAAGAATTAATCGAACTTAAGTTTGTTTCCCCCCTTGGTGTGGATCTTTTGGGCAGGTGTGAATACAGCAATCGCACTCTGGTGCGGACCAAACAACCGTACCAGCAGAAGAGGTGGTCTCGGTCCGGTTCCAAACGAGAGGATGCTCTCTCCGCAGGAACCATCTTCGTCTTTGCAAAATCCAAATTAAAACGTAGTATAGATAACTTTGGCAAGCAGGACAAGGCTGAGGGTCATGAGAGAACGGCACGAGGCCGGTTGCATGATTACCAACATCGTATCTCTCACGGAAGAGCTACGGAAGCATAAAAGGAAGAAAGCGATGACCGTGAAGGAATGAGAGAAGACCAGGCCTGGACTTTTATGTTATGTTTTGTTTATGTGTGTATGGCAGTGGTCCGTGAAGGACTAAGTCCGTGAAAGTTTTTACTTTAGGTTTGTGTTTTTTAAAAATTATTAATTAATTTAAATGTTCGCTGGTTCCCTCCGCCTCCTTCCCATAACAACATACTTCGTTACAATGACATTGTGTCATGTGATGCTCATAAGTTTCTTTATATTGCGTTAGTAGCTGATAACACCAAATCAGTGAAAGAATAAAAATTGCATCTACGCAAGCTCTCCATGATTAGCTTGTTTTTGCACTTCCTGCTTTTCCCAGCTTGAGAGTCCAATGAACTTTTCTGTGAAAATTGAAAAATTTCTGTCCAATGAATGGATGACTTTAGCACACGTGTGGTTTTGTTTACAAATTTTTGTTCACTTGCAAAAAGGGCAGTGTGAAATTGAACTAGCAAACTTTCCTGGTGTGAACTTTGACTTTCCCTAACTTTACCTAAGATATGTCAGTGCTAGTTGCTTTCAATTAAAACAGCTTTAACATGCATTTTAGTCTGGGATATGCTTAAGCCATGTCTGAAACAGGGGGAATAAGTCATAAAAATCATAAATAGGAGGAAAAATAGGATTTTTGAAGCACAAACACGTCACGCTAGAAAAACATGATTTTGATTGCCTGGAGATTGTGATAGTTACTGATTTGCATAACAGCTGCTAGAGTGTTTTGGGTGTGTTTAGTTGGACAAGAAGTAATAGGGAAAATGTAAATTTACCAGCAACTGGCTTGAAAATATTAAATTCTCGGACTGGTTAGAACCCGTACCAGTAAATAATTTGAAAGCCTGTTGCAGCATTTGTAAGAAATGCCTTAAATTTGGCTCTATGGGTGTCAAGGCCGTGGAATACAACATGCAAGGAGAAAAGCACAAGTGCAGTCTGATCTCATGAAGTAGCGTGTGTATGACACGCCAATTCGTATTTCCATTTTTGGAGTGCTATCAACACGCATAATCGCTTTTCAGCGTGTTTATGAACGCCGTTGACTTAACGTTATTACTGTATATATAAATATATGACTTACCTCAACCCCGGCACTAAACCTAACCGTCACTGGGGTTAATGGCATTTTCTTCCCTTACCATCCTAGGAAAGAAAAAGATTGCTCCCCAGATGTAGATCTACATTTTGCTTCATTTCGCTCGGACATTTGACGGCGTGTACAGACACGCGGAATCACTCGGACGTTAATGGCGTAGACATACACGCATACAGGCGGATACACGCGGATAGCTCAAAATGCATAGAGATAACACGCCACTTGACTTGAAATTGGAGTGTATGTTTACGCACAAGTCATGATGTCATGTTGACAAGTGATATATGTGATTTTGGATAGTGGCAAATCATCACTCATACACCTCTATCAACAACTCGTTTAAATCTTTTTTTTTTTAAAGCAAATGTTCCCAACCCCGAGCTTGTAAAAGCTTTTACATGTGGGCGAGATCAAACTGCCTACACCACCAATTATGGTTTAGCTCAGTGAATAGGTTTTGTTACTCGCTTTTTTCATTGTTATGATTATATCATTTTATTTCTGGCTTTACAATAATTCAGGTGACCAGATTGTCCAGCATTTTTAAGATTTCCTGTCTCTTGAGGAAAAGACTCATTTTCTTCCTTCCAGCCAATGGACCTTTGGACTTTTGGTCAGAACATCCTTTTTCATAGAGGGGTTTTCCTGACTAAAGAACTACTAGATTCTTAAGCTTTTGCTTGGTCTCACTACCATTTTATATTTTGACCAGAAAAGGAGGGAAAAAGACAGCAGTGTACAAACCCAGAGAAGTATACATTTGTGTTCATGAATATGCAAAACAGGTTGCTTTGCCAAAAAGCAATCATTTATACGAATTAAAATAAACAGCAAAAATGTCAATATCCAGGCCACCATGTCAAGGCACTAACACATCAACAAATTCTAAATGTCTCTCATTATTACATAAAGATAAGTTGTTTTATTAATATTACGTAGGCTACTTGGATGATATGTAAATCACATTGTTGCCTTGGCTTTTGGCTTGCTTAGTTGGGGACATTAATATTGATCTGAATTATATTATCTGTATTATTGATCTGCCTTACTTAAGGTGGACAGTAGCCGCGTTTCCATTACCCTTCAATTTGCGCAAATTGAAATTGCGAAATGAAAATACGCTCAATGGAAACACGTCAATTTCGCAAAAACTCTTGTTTTTCGCAAAAAAGTACGCTCGCATGAGGATGTTTTTCAGGCAATTAGAAAAAGGATTTTTTCGCAAAACTGCAATGGAAACGGATTTTGCGCATTTACAGTCACCTGACTTAGAAGACGGAGTGTGTTTTCGGTCCGTGTCCGCAAATAATAATAATAATTATCATCATTAGCCTATTATAACATTTATTAGGCTACATATGTAGCCTAGAAGACGCTTTTATCCAAAAAAGCAACAAAGCAATTCGTCACATCTCATTCATGTACAGGTTGGACAATAATAGGGCGAAGATTATCACAAATAAACACTCGATTTTGACCAATATCCAAGAGTGTGTGCGGAGTTTGGAGCACGCACTGGATGGCAGACAGACGCAGGCACGCCGTGAACACTTTCATTTTCCCATCAACAGTGGAATCAACTTAAAATACTCTAGCATTTCTGGTTATACAGAAAAAATATTTTTAATATTTTTAAATAGGCTATCCATGTTCTAATTTGGCCTTAGAACACCAGTAAAATCTAAATTTTTTCCCCCATATTAATTTGTGAATATTTTAAATGTTTTAAAGGGGGCAAAAAGTCATAAACAAATATCTGAAATTTCGTTGAGATGTAGCCTATATAGCGCAGAATTGGTGTGGTCAAACTAAAATGATGGTGTTCAACTTTGCGTTTTAAAAATACAACAACCGTTCATTTTTCGTTTTGCAATGACCGTTTGGACATAATACGAGTTAAAGTTCTTTATTAAATTCATTTAAAAAAAGAAACTCAGGAGGAACTCAGGAACCAGGAACTCTGTATGTTTCCCTGCTATTAATGCTTGGATAACACATCACGTCTCCTTCCATTAATAATAATAAAAATGTCTATGTGGTGCATGCATGGCTGTGAAATAAGTTATAAACCTACCAAAGTCCGTTGATTTTTGGAATGACTTATCTCGAGATTAAAAAAAGGCGTTTTAGTCACATAACATCGGTTAATGGAAACACCGTCATTTTGCAATAGTTTTTTATCGAAATTTGGAAAATATTGCAAAAGTTTTGCGCAAATCTGTAATGGAAACGCGCCTAGTGATGCAATTTTCTTCTAGAAACAAACTTTGTTGTATTATTTTTATGTTATCACTGTGAAGCTGCTTGACACAATTTGTATTGTAAAAAGCGCTATGTAAAGAAAGGTGACTTGACATGTTTCTGTGTTTCTATGTTTGTTAGAAATAAATGGCACAATATCAAAGCACTTGGACTGGATCCATTTGCAAACTTTGCGATATTAACAGAGGTGGAAATGTCTGTACAGGTCACCCAGAACACCATAGCAACTGCAAAGCACAGCTGAGAATATCCTATCAACACTAGCAAAACCCCACGACATTCTGACCCAACTCTGAACTATTTTAAATTTTAGGACAAGAATTTAACTTGACTTTAAAACAAGCCAACATAAAGTTTTCCGGTCTAGATAATTTAAGTGTAACTTCACAGATTTCCATCCTGATTTGTATTGTTACAACATTGAAAGTATTATGTAAATGAACAATGTCATCCAGCTGTGTTTTGATAGCTCCAGGGCTTTCGTGGAAACTACAGATTAAAAAGTTTTTGTATCCCCACCCATCGACAGTTGGATCGACAGAGGTTTAATAACAGAACAGTTATTGTTAGGGTAGGTTTATCGCTGAAAAAATTCCCCATACAACAAATTAGCTCTTGCCGACGTTGGGGCACATGTGCCTGCCTGACATAAAGTGCCTCGGTGAGATGTCTTATGGAGATCGGTACCTAATCGGCAAGATATCGGGAAGATGATGGCATTAGAATGATCGCCAACTGTGAGCCAACGTAAACCCGAAATGATCGCCCGACCATGAGCCAACGTGAACCCGAAATGATCACCTGACCATGAGCCAACGTAAACCCAAAATAATTATGACCTATGTGGCGCGATCCTACTGGAGCGAGGAAAATCAGCTGTTCCAATGTTAAGTCAAAGGGAGCGAGGCGTCTGAATGCTAATTTCGCCGTTCTAGTAGGATCCCACTATTATGTCTTATTGATTTGTTTAGACAGATTGTTTTCCATCAACAACACTCAATAGCAGTGTATGTGATGTGTTAATCATATAATGTTTT